TCCCAGAGAATTAAAAAAATATTTGTAATTGTTTGTTGAAATGAGTGTATTAAAAAATATAATATATTATTTAACATGAGCTTTGATCAATTAATTAGAATTAATTTACAGTATAGGAGGATTTGATTTTGTTTATTAAGGTGCCCTGCGCTAAGACACTAAAATTGCACTAAAACACACCAAGAGACTAGATCAAATCAATAATTTATTTATTGTAAAAGTGACAACGAGAGGAAGCATGGATCACACCAATTAATAGAGTTTTGTGTTGCAAAAACTATGCGTGAGTACTATCTAGTGAGGGTATTTTCCTCTAAAACTATTATTGCTCCAGTTAATCCAATATCTTTGCAACAGGTCGTAGTTATACATTCTTGAAATATTTACTTCCATACACAATTTAATAATCTTGTATTAATATATATCATAATACCAAATGATATTTTGATAAACTCTAAAATATTAATTTAAAAATATACATTTAGTATTAGACTATTCGGCCAATGTAGGTGTTGTAACTAGTTATAAATATATATATATATATATATATATATATATATATATATATATATATATATATATATATATATATATATATACACATTTAATTCATGTTCGCACACACTTAATCTAATCTAGACAATTAAAAAATATTAGATGGATGCACACGATTTATTCTCACGTTCTCATCTAAGCAAGTGTTCTCATTGAAACCCTACTCTATATATATGGAAAAAGTGTCAGATTGGGTGTCTAAGTCAGGTGGATAGTGCAATTGGGTCTCCTAAGTAAAAAAAAAAAAAGCTTCATTCAAGTTTCCTAAACCGGAAAAATTGTTCAATTAAGTCCAATTTGACTTGTTTATCAGGTTAACTCGATACGATATTGACACTTGTCCTTTTTATTTTATTTTTTAAAACAAAATATTTTTTATTAAATAATTAAAAATATTATTTATTATAAATAAACTAAACAACTAAAAAAAAAAAAAAAAAAAAAAACAGCCACCGGCTGTTCGACGCGGACAGTAGGTGACACCGTCTTCTTCACGAATAGCCACGGTCGTCTAAGGAAGACGGCCATAACCATCTTCCTTCGTCAGCCACACGGACAGCCGATGGCTGTCTTCTTCTAGGACGGCCACGGCCGTGGCTGACGAAGGAAGATGGTCATGGCCGTCTTCCTTCGTCGGCCACGACCGTGGCCGTCCTATTGGACGGCCACGACCGTGGCCGTCCTATTGGACAGCCACGACTGTCCGTGAAGAAGACAGCCATTAGCTATCCGACGCGGACAGTCGGTGGCTGTTCTCTCTCTCTTTTTTTTAAAAAAAATATTTTTTAATTGTTTTGTTTATTTATTTATAATAAATAATTATTTTAATTTTTAATAAAAAAACATTTTGTTTTAAAAAATAAAATAAAAAGGACATGTGTCAACACCACATCGATTTAACTTGATAAATAAATCAAATTAGCCTTAATTGAATAATTTTACTATTGATTTAGGGGATTTAAATGAAATTTTTTTACTTATGAAACCCAATTGTATTATTCACTCGAATATATATATATATATATATATATATATATATATATATATATATATATATATATATATATATATATATATATATATATGCTTCGAATCTGGTGCACCCCCTTTGATAAATGAGGTCATGAGACCTCATGCTATCCATTGATTAATTTTCCATCAATGGTTCAGATAATTAGAGATTATTAAAAGAAGAAAGGATATATATTAACCAAAAGGATTAAACTGTAATTGTAGTTATTGAACTATTTATGGCATTAATAGTAATGGAATCTTAAGCATTAAATTAGGGATATAATTTATGGTAATTGAGGAGATGAATCGTTAAATCTTCAGGGAACCAAGAAACGCACTTCAGTAATGGCTGGACCAAGCACCGGTAGGTGCATTACTTCATATTGGCGTGTGCGTAATACCTGTATTTACGTTTTTTACTTTTACTTTTTTTTTTTACGTGACGAAGGACATACGAAATAGGGGTATTTGTGAACCTCTAGAAACAGCAGTTATGTGGAAGCGTGGCTGCATACCAGCTTCTGCAACCCTTCCGGCTATATTACGTCGTGTATATATAATGGAGCTTAGGGGCCGGGTGCGTGTAGTAACAATAGTCAGTGCATTATAGATGATTAGGCACTATGTCGGTGCATAGTCGTGCGTTCGCATGTGCGTAATACCAACATTTCCGTTGCTTATTTTTTCGTTTATGCGGTAGCGTGATTGCATATAAGCTTGTGCAACCCTACCGGGTTTATTAGGGCGTGTATGTATAGAGGGAGCTTAGGGGCCGGGTGCGTGGAGTAACAAAAGTCCGTTCATTATGGCTGAGTATGCACTTGACGGTTCGTAGTCGTGTATTGGTATGTGCATATTACCAATAGGACGTTTACTAATTTGTTAGTTGATGGGAAGAGCGGACTATCAATTAGGGCTATCTATGAACCTCAGGAAACAGCTGGTATGTGGTAGCGTGGATGCATATAAGCATATGCAACCCGTCCGGATTTATGACATCATGTATATATGATGGGAGCTTAGGGGCTAGGTGCGTGTAGTAGTAATCGTCTGTGCATTATACTGATATAGGCTTACCGTCATGCGACCCATCCATGCGTGAAAGCTTATACAACATGTGCATAGTGATTAGCATTCGTAACATGCATTTTTACACCATACACGTAACACGGACTGAATTTTTTAAAAAAGTAAAAATGAAATTGACACCCAAGCAATTTAGAGAAGGCGTACAACAAGTCATGACTCACAGTGAGGCCATAAAGAAATAATGTGTGTTTTACAATATGGATGGGGGGAAAACTATCATGATGCTGATATGTCATAACTTCATCAACCTCATCCGGCACTTGAGAGGGGGAAATAAAACTTCATCAACCTCATCCGGCACAACATCCGGCACAACATCCAAATCCGGGGCTGGTTGTGCAGGTTCATCAAAAACAGCAGCAACCTCAGCCCGATGCAAAGGATCAACCACATTGGCAGCACCTACCGGCTCAGCAAAAAATAAGTATAATGAAGGCGCACCGACCCAACAACAGAAACGCACCAACCTAAATGAAAAAGACAGGAAAATATAAATAATAGTGTCAATTAGCAACTAAACCACACCCTATCTTGCAAACGGTAAGACACTGCTACGCACAAACCACCACAACTAACAAGGCAAACCCCAAAAACCTCGACCAATAAACAAAAAACACGCACCAACCCAAAAACAGTGGTGCACCCGCCTAAAAAAGAAAAAAAAAAAAAAAACAAAACAAGCAGTAGCAATTCCCCAACCACACTTTAAATCTAACTTGCACACGGTCACAGACACAAACGCACAAACCACCACCAATAGTCACGACCCCCCGAACCCCTACGAAATAATAAATAAATTACAAAGCATGCAACGACCGAATACCAGACGCGCACCAACCAAAATGAAAAACCCCCGTTAAAAAAACTTGTGTCAATTAGCTTGTACATTACACTCTACAACCTGCACAAAGGAACATACTGCTACGCACAAACCTATGCCACCGATTACGTAAGCCCAAAAAACCCAAAAAACAACAAAAAAATAAACACACAAACAACCAATACAAGTGGTGGAACACACATACGTACAAAACCGAAATAAAACCAACAGTAACAAACCTGACACACCTTACCCCTAACATGCATAGAGTAACAACTACAACGCAACAACCACCCCACCCAAAACCAGTAGCCCACCACCCCCATCACGAAAAAAATGGAAACACAAAACCATAATGTAGATTACAACTCCAGACACTATCACATAAAACTATTGGACCCATATGCATTTACCCCACCAAAAAATCCAAAACCCACACCCCATTCTGGGTTGGAAAAAAAAAAAGGAAGACACAAAGTGGTTGACATTGTCCGAAAAAAACCATACACAATACAGCAAAAAAAAACAACATTAACCGAAACCGTAAACCTTAAACCGTAACTACCCAATCCCCCCTCCCAGTCCCCGCTTCCCAGACACCCATAAAAAAAAAAGGAAAAAAAAAAAAAAAAAAAAAAAAAAAAAAAAAAAAAAGAGAGGATGGCCGCCGGAAAATCACCACCATCCGACCGCCACAGACACCAAAATCCCACAGAACGCACACCCACAACCCCCCGAAACGGAAAAACAGTAACAAAAAAACCCCACACACCCTAGATAGAAAAAACGAATCGACATAAATAAGGGGGATTGAGATTACCTTCAATGGAACCACCGTTAGACCTCCGTTGCCTCTTCGATCGGCGGACAGTAGACCCAACCATGTTGAACGCGAGAGTTGTGATGGAGAGGGAGAAAGTGATGGAGGTCGAAAATACTCACGGAGAGGGAGAAAGTGAGAGGGAGTTGGACTATGGCTGGAAGAGAAATACGCAGAAGATGAAGTGTTGAAAGAAGGGTCAGAAGAGATGCAGATTTCCCAGGCGAAATTAAATACACAGTATAATTAAAGCCATTGCAAAAATTACAAAACAAGCCCTAATATCCTCTTAAATCTGATGCGCATGGCAAAAAAGCCCAAATCATCTGGACCATTCATCTAAACTAATTAAGGGTCATAAAAGGTGCTCACGAGCTCATCTGCCAAGGGGGTGTGCACCGGATCCAAAATCTATATATATATATATATATATATATATATATATATATATATATATGCAAAATGCAATTGATTGATGTGTAGTGAATTATTAGTAAGAAAAATAAGATGTCGAAACCCGAAGACCAAAACAAAGGGGCCCAATAAAGGAATGCTGCAGCCTGCAGCGCTCGCTCGAATCTTTACCAATCTTCTACAACTTCTTCGCCGCTCAAAACCGTAGAACCCAATGTACGCATACGGCACATCTATGTACGTATTTATACCGGGATCGTATATATATACGTCCATATATATACGACAACACTCAACACACAATTCATTCATTATCTCTCTCTGTGTCTCTCTCCGCCACCCTCTGCTCTGCACCCACTTTTACCCCTCACACCACATCCTCCTCTGCTTTTGCGTTTCCGTCTTCCCAGCTCGCTGATGAACGACGATTGGTTAGCGGCGGCGATGACCGATGACGCCGTCGTCGTCGACCTCCTCTTCCGCCTCAAGCAGTCCCCGTTCTCAGAGGCGTGCACTCCGCCGCCGCATCCCGCCGCCACGAGGTTGTTGCATATGCGCTTGCCTTCTCCCAGCTGGGGCCATCGCCAGCCGAGATCGAAACCGACGGCGTCCGCTAGCCGGAAAGAGGCCGCCGCTGGAAGTTCCGCCAGGTTTAGCCCGACCACTCCGCTCTCCTGGAGCGGTGGCGCCGCTTCGCCCAGCGACGGCGGCTTTGACGAGTCCAGCCGCCTCCCTTCTTCATCGGATCTAACATCCGCTTTCAGATCCAAGGTTTGTATCGCCTCGCCCTTTCTCTCTATCATCTCATCTTCTTCCCCTTCTCTCTATCATCTCATCTCTTACATAACTTCTCAATGACTTCAATTCCTTTTCACGGCGGTTTTGGAGCCTCCTCCATAACCGTTAATCACAACCAAGTCATCCGGTTTTCCAGCTCTGATGTCGGCTTCACGAAGAACTGATCTGACGTTCTTCCCCATTTAGGTTAAACAGGACACCCTTCCAAAACCTCCAAATCCTTGGTTTTCAAGTCCACGGTTTTTGGTTTCCGTCAACTGAACAGTCTATTTTCAACTATGCCAAAGCTCCATCGTACCATAATGACAATTTCAGTCCAATTTGGTTTTCCGTTTAAACCCTGGTTTCCATCAATTCCTTCTCTGCAGTGCATTCACGTTGTCGCTTTCATTTTTCCATTTCTATATTGTTACGATTTCGACTGGTAACAGAATTTTGGATTATTAAAAAACTTTTTAAGTTTTAAGACCCGGTCCGATCTGTAAACGGCGGTTGTTTATTTTGCCGCCGGTCGGACTGTTTTGGTTTCCGATTATTTCGCTCCTCTTTTTCCATGTCGTTTTCCGTTCCTGTGTGAAATTGTTGAATTCTGCGCTTTTTTTGGATGAAGAAACTGGTCGGAGGGGCAGTTTCCGGTTAAAAATGGAGTTTTAACGGTTGCTCACGTTTTCTCCCGGCTACCTTCTAGCGTTTCCGATTCGGATAATTAATTTTATTTCTTTCCTTTTTTTTTATAAATTAAAAAAAAAAGTCCAATAATTTGACCAAAATACCCTCCTTGCAAATACACTCTCAGAAGGTTCGGATCTAGGGAAATTTCCCACGTATACTTGTTCAAAGCCTCTTCCGATTCCTTCTTTGTCGTAAAGATATATATATATATTCTTTTCTTTTTTTTTTTCTTGGAAATTTCCTTTGATAATGGGAGTAAAGTGGGTCACCTAATTGAAGGGGCAAAGTGGGGAAAGAAATAAAATAAGGGCAAGAGTTAGGAAGGAGTGTGGGTCCCGTTGGGGCGGAGGTTTAGGGCGTTGCCGTCGTATCCGCGGTCGCATGGACTTATCTTGAGGTTTCTTTCTGATTCCATCTGTTTTTGTCGTGAGGGGCCCCACCCAGTGGTTTCTCTTCTTTTTGTGTGTGTTTCGTGTTCAGCTTTTTTTAATTTTTATTGTCTTTTTAAAATGTTCCTCTCATCTATTTCTGGGGGCTTTTTAAAAAAATAAATCGCTTGGGTAAAAGGGGTGGATATTTGTTTTGAGGAATTGTGTATTCATATTATTCTGGGCTTTTTGGGTTTTTATATATATGTGATTATGTGAAGTCCAAGAAGATCCATCCAGTCATGGCGTTGAATTTTAATGGTCCTCCAAAGCGACTGGGTCCCAGTTTACTTTGGTGGTTGTGTCTCCTTTATTTATTTATTCATTTTGGGATAGGGTGAAGGTGAGAGGCAGATAAATGAATGGGAATGAAAAGTTCATTTACTTTGTTGAGAGGTTTGGGTGTGTGGAAGAGGTTTAGGTGTGTGGAATTGGGGAGGGACAATTTCTAATGTTGAAGGAGAGTGATATACATACTCTATTTTTGTCTAGACAGAATAGTTTTAGCCCTTCAATGCTCTCCAAGTTGCCTAATTTCTTGTTTTGGACTCTCACTTAATGGTTTTTTTTTTTTTTTTTTTTTTTTTTTTTTTGGGATTTCGAGTGAAATTCGTAATCACTACTTGAGGGTGTGTTTTGGTTAAACCCGTCTTGTGACTTTAGTTGGCAAAGGATCTGCACTGGTTAAACCCGTCTTGTGACTTTAGTTGGCAAAGGATCTGCACTGGTTAAACCGTCTTGTGACCTTAATTGACAAAAGATCACAAGTTGATAAACCAGCCCTGGTTTAAACTTGGGACCAGTTTGTATCATTAACCAACTTGGATGGGGTTTTACCCTCTCACTTAATGGTTTTGGATTCATTGAATATGTGTAAAAGCAAGCATTTTGGTAATGTGTGATTGATTACATGTGCACTTGCAGGTTAATGAAAGCAGCAATGTTGGAAGTAGTTCCGGGCAAGGGCAAGGGTGTAGAAGGAAGAAGGTGAGTTTGGGGTTTTTGAACAGAGGATGAATTGATTGATAGATAGATAGATAGATATGTGTTGTTGTATTACAATTACTGAAAGATTAAAGATTTGATTGCAGACATTTGGTGACCTTGTGGAGGAAGAGAACTCACTATTGAAGGAGAGAGTACAGTTGAAAAGGGTATGCAGGCTGGGCTTCTTTATCAAATCTCATTAACTCCCTTTTCTTGAAGGAGAGATATGATTTTAGGATTGATTTGATTGTGTTTTGGGTGAATAGGAGCTGGCATCCCTGCACGTGACGCTGAACCAACAAAAGGCTAGGAGCCAAGACTTGAAGAGGATCAAGGTAAAGGCAATTCAATTCATTCAAATTCTGTGAGTGAACACAATATATCTTACCCTTCATGAGAATAAGCTGCTAATCAATCATCACCTGTTGTTGATTTGGCAGATTGATTTGAATATGCAATCGGCTTGTGATCGGGGTGTAGGCCCCCGTGCCAATGAACCCTCCACTCAATGCAACAACCCAATGCAAGTTTTGTCTAGACAAAGATACACCGAGGATGAGGAGGAAGAAGATGAGGAGGAGCAGGTTGTATTGTCAGATTCTTCACAGAACAAAGGAGGAGGAGGCTTCATCCTTCCCGATCTAAACATGACTCCCCTGGAAGACGAATGGAATTAACCAAGAATAAGAATGTGGATCGGAGCTGTGATATATATGGGGCTAGACCGACCAGCCGGAATTCCTGGCTGAGAAGGAGGAGAAAGGAGAAGATGTTTGTAAATCAACTATTACTACTTTCATTTGTGACCAAGTCACAGGTGTAGAGATTCACTACCCTCCTGGAGGAGGTCTGGTGAACTGGGGAGAAGAAGAAGAAGAAGAAGGTGGGGGGTTATGGGTAGTGTAGAGAAGAGTAGGTTTAATTAGATGTAGAAAGCTCTTATCAAATTTTTTAAATTTTTGATTGATTTCTTGTTGCCATTTTTAGGGACATGAAATGGAACTTTTCTTTATTCTTTTCTTTAGCTTTGCGCTTACAATACCCCAAAGGTCCCAACCCAACCATAACAAACCTATTCCCTCCTATGCCCCCTCTATCATAATTATTATATTTTACTTTAGCCTCCAAATCATTCCGTGTGGGCTCCTCTCTTCTTGCTTACCCTAACACTAAATTAATATACAATACACTTTTTATTTCTATTTGCCTTTTGCTACATCATATTTCTAAGGGGACGATGTTTCCCGTGTGATCGTGTAATCACGTATCATTATGTAGACATAAAGTGTTTAAAAATGTACAATTAACAGGGCATTTGGTTGGAGGGATTTTAAATTCTCTTCCCACATAATTCTAAAGGCCATTAAATTCCGTAGTTTGGTTGGAGGGAATTGCAATTTCATGGAATTGTAATTTCCCCATTTTCATGGAATTAAAATTCCATGTCCCCTTTGGGATTTTAATTACTGAGGAAAAAAATATAGTGATGAGTCAAAATTATTCATTTCTTTTTTAATCTAAAATTAATGTTTAACAACAATAATGGGCATTTTTGACTTTATACTACTTATTCCATTTCAATTCCCATGTATACCAAACATTGGAATTGAAATTCCCAGTAATTCTATTCCTGTCAACCAAACACTGGAATTTAAATTCCCACTAATTCAACTCCCATGGAATTATAATTTTTTTCCCACATAATTCTCCCCCTCCAACCAAACACCCTGTAAGTGAGTATGATATATTTATGCATTTCATTCAGCAAAGAAAGTCCTATCTTCATTTGAACAGTTGATCTATATCTGGATCATAATTATATTTTATATATACACAAAGAGAAAAAGAAAAATAATTACTTTCCTACCCCCAGCATGAGCGTGCTGTCCATGCCTGCATGGAGTAATTACATATATTTGTCACTTTGTCCCTTCCTTTTCTATATATCAATGCTCTCTTCACGTGGTATTCTTACAATATATTTCCTATTCGAAATGTTCTCATAATTTTTCCTTAGCTTAAGGTTTCTTTTCAAAAGTGGTGAGATTTGAGTGTTTAAAGTGTTACAATTACATTCTTGAATCTTTATTATTTTAGTTGAAATTTTTAATAATTTGTCCACGACAATTTAATTTTCTAGTAATTCATTAGTAAATAATCAAAGTGAATATTGGCATAAGGGTCAAATAGGCCATCGAACTGCACACAATAATTCAATTAGGCCATCGAACTGCACACAATAATTCAATTAGGCCACTGAACCTAAAAAAAACAACAATTAGGTCATTAAACTAACTAATTTCTTTCAATTAGTCTAATTTATAAGTTTTGCAGGTTAGTAACAGGTCACCAAAAAAAATTAAATTTTTTTTTAAAAATAATAAATTAAAATATATTTTAAAAAATAAAAAACGTTTCTCCGTCTCTGCCGGAGACGAAAAAGCTCTTCGTCTCCATGGCCGAAGACGAAGAGATTCTTCGTCTGCATGGCCGGAGACGAAGAGACTCTCCGTCTCCGGCCATGGAGACGAAGAGTTTCTTTGTCTCTAGCCGAAGACGAAGAAACTTTCTTTGTCTCTGGCCGGAGACGAAGAAACTTTCTTCGTCTCCGGCAAAGACGAAGAAACTTTCTTCGTCTCCGGCAGAGACGAAGAAACCATTTTTTAAAAAATATTTTTTAATTTATTATTTTTAAATAATAATTTTTTAAAAAATTATTTAATAATTTTGGAATAAGGGTCAAATAGACCACTCAACTGCGCACCCAATTGCAATTAGGTCATCGAACTAGAAAAGAATGTAATTGGATCCCTGAACTACGCAAACTCATGCAATTCAATCCAAAATTGACTTGTTTACCTGAAAAGACGGTTACCGAATTTAAACATATTTTTTTAATAATTTTAAATAAAAAAGCTATAATTAAAATTTATTTTAAAAAAAAAAAAAAAAAAAAAAAAAAAACTATGTCGTCTTCGCCGGAGACGAAGAAGAAACGAAGAAGTCTTCTTCGTCTCCGGCGGAGACGAACGGAGACAGAGGGATCTTCGTCTCAGGCCGTCTCCCTGGCCGGGGAAACAACCCAAGACGAAGGTGGCTTCGTCTAAGGCCGTCTCCATGGCCGGGGAAACGGCCCAAGACGAAGTGGCAGGCAACTCTTGGGCCTTCTCCCCGGCCATGGAGACAGCCTGAGACGAAGGTGGCTTCGTCTCAGGCCGTCTCCATGTCCGGGGAGACAGCCCAAGAAGCCACCCCTTCATCTCCGCCATGAAGAAGAAGACTTCTTTGTCTCTGGCGGAGACGAAGGGTTTTCTGTTTTTTTTTTTTTTTTTTTTTAATTTTAATTTTAATTTTAAATTATTAAAAAAAAATTAATTCAGTAACCGCCTTTACATGTAAACAAGTCAATTTGGATTGAATTGCATGATTTTGCGTCGTTCAGGGACCAAATTGCATTTTTTTTTAGTTCGATGGCCCAATTGCAATGTGGTGCACAGTTGAGTGGTCTATTTGACCCTTATTCCAATAATTTTTGGGTGTCCTGTTACTAACCTGTAAATTAGACTAATTGAAAGAAATTGGTTAGTTTAGTGGCCTAATTGTTATTTTTTTAGGTTTAATGGCCTAATTGCATTATTGTGTGCTGTTCGATGGCCTATTTGACCCTTATTCCATGAATATTTAAAGAGCTACCTCACTCCAATTGCTCTTTCAAATTTATACTTTTTAAGAATAATTTATTACTTCTATTTACAAATAAAAGTATTTGTAATCTTCATTATATTCTTTAAATGAAAAATTCCACCTTTTGTCCTAAAGTTATGAGTAATTGTAAAATTCGTTCATACTTGTTGATCGTGTACACTTCTTGTCCATAACTCATAACTGACGTTGCAAATTTCATCATTTTTATAATAAACATTAGGGACGAAATTTGATACATCAATTATAGCTTGGGGACGAGAAGTGAACATAACCTGTTAGAAAAATAACGAAATTTGTAATGTAACGTCATTTATAGTTTAGGAATGATAAATGAGCACGATCAATAAAATGAATGTATTCAACAATTACCCTTTAATTTAGAGATAAAAAATACAATTTTCCATTCTTCAAATTATATCTTTAACCTTTATATGCAAACAATGGTAGTGGTAGTTGTTTTCAAAAATGGTAGTGGTAGTTGTACTAGAGCTATTAAAACGAAGCATAGCATGTTAACCTACAACCTAGCATAACTCATCATCAATGCTTATTATGTGAACTAGTATCTTTTATGCGCGATGCGCAAAAAATAGGTGCCCAATATTAGTACTTTATAATAAAATTTTAAAATTATTTAGATTTTAGATATTTAAATTATTGTAAATAATAAGAAGAAGAAGAAGAAGAAGAAGAAGAAGAAGAAGAAGAAGAAGAATAATAATAATAATAATAATAATAATAATAATAATGTAAAATATTTTTATAAATTTGATATTTTTGTTTAGGAAATAACTAATATATATATATATATATATATATATATATATATATATATATATATATCCATATATATATATATATATATATATATATATATATATATATATATATATATATATATATATATAAATCCATGATATAATGTGTATTGGAAGAATGATATAATGTGTATATATTATTATTATTGAAGAAGATAAGAAAATATATGGTGGATGTATGTGCATGGTAACAATAGTGGAAAAGATAACAGAAGTTATAACGGTAGGGGTATGCTTGTCCAAAATATTGTAAAGTACAACTTTTATACCATAATGTATAAAAAAACTTAACGGAAAAAACGGACATAAATGAAGGGTATAACCATCATCCACACTTATTATGTTTTTAGATCATGATCCACATAGCTCTGTGAACCATTCATATGATACATTATTTCTATGTTAAGGTACATTATTTTTTATGTATAAAGTACATTATTTTCTATGTATAGGGTACAATATTTTTTATATATATGGTACTACATTACTTTTATACGTAATGTCTATTATTTGAATGTGTACAATATAATATAAAAATAACTTGAGGGTTCATTATTTATATAATAAGGTTCATTATTTGTGTGCATAAGATTTATTATTTGAACATGTATAAATTGATTGAAGGTTGATTATTTAGGTATATATATATTCTAGACTCATTTATGTTGTAATTCATTATTTGTAGAACGTAGTTGAACTTATTCAGCACACCCCATCCCTTTACTTAGAAATCTAATATTTTAGTAAATCAAGATTCATTCATTATTTAATTTGTATATATAAGATTCATTATTTGTAATATAAAGTAACTTATTTCTGTGAATTTATTTTGATGCATGGTCCGTAGTTAAATTTACCACCTCTTGGTGGGCAAAAATTCTCAACCCACCCATAAAGGCTTAGCTCACTAGTTCAATATGCATTATTGGCAAATTATGCTGTGCATCCGTATGCACCATGCATGGTGCATCCGTATGCACCATGCATGGTGCATACGAATGCAAAAACGACGTCGTTTTAATAAAACGCGCGTCTCCCCTTTAAAAAAAAAATCAGGTTCGATTCCCAGCAACAAAATATGAACTAAAATTTCATAATCGATGAACTATAATTCCAGAATCGATGAACTATAATTCCATAATCGATGAACTATAATTCCATAATCTAATCTATGAACTAAAAATTCCAAAATGAATGAACTAAAATTCCATAATCTATAAACTAAAATTTCAGAGTCGATGAACTACAATTCCATAATCGATGAACTATAATGCCATAATCAATGAACTATAATTCCATAATCTATGAACTAAAATTCCAGAATGAATGAACAATATAATGTTGTTGCTGGGAATCGAACCTGAATTTTTTTTAAAGGGGAGACGCACGTTTTTTAATAAAACGACGTCGTTTTGGCATCCGTATGCACCATGCATGGTGCATACGGATGCATAGCATAACAATTGTTTGGGAGAAGAGAAGAAGAAATTCTGAACACAAC